CCCCCTTCCTCCCCAACCCTCCTCACCAGAGGGGACAGTTTTCTCCTCACTTTGTCCTTGGGCTTTAACGCCCTCATGGCCAGGACATTCGAAGTTTTAGTCCTTTCTCAAGTGACATGCTAGCAAACAGGTTTTGGACTTCCGTTAAAACCACGTCTTTTATTTAGAAAGCAGATAATAATAACATAAGGAAAGCAGAATCTTGGGCACGAACATTTTCATTCACTTACATTTTTGGTTGTAAATTATAATAATGAAGAAAGCAAGCGTATACAGATTGTTGTAGAGTGGAGACAAAGCTGTGGTGATTTAAATTATTTGCAGATCTGCAAAAATAGACTGATTGGGAGGGGGTATTGGAAAATAACAATACTGCCATGAATGAAAGGCCCCCTACACCTAGGTACGATTTTAAAAAACAACCAACCTCTCAGCAAACTGTAAGAGAAGGGAACTTCTCTACCTGATCAGGAACATCTACAAAAAACTAAACACCTGAGGGTAACATCACGCTTCAGGGTGAAACATTGAGCATTTTCTCCCTCAGACGGGGAACGGGGTGGGAACGTCCACTCTAACCAAGGCAGGTAAGTCTGGCCAACACGGTGCGTGTCACAGAGTAGTTGCCCAGGAAGCGCTGGCTAACTGAGCACCGGAATGAACGTGAACGAGACTCTGCAAGGGCCCGGAAGGCCAGGTGCAGACGGGCCCTCCAGGCAGGGCGCAGGCATGGGTGGGCGGGGCTGACTTGAGCCACGCCCACCGGAGGAAACGTTGGTAGAAATGGACTGGGGGCTGGAGCAGAGCCGCCTTTGGCTGGGAGGCAGGGTGAAGGCTGACACCGGAGGCCAGCTCCTTCCACCGACAGCATTCCCCAGGTCTCACCATCCCCTTCCCCCAACTTCCCTCTTGCCAGCCTGCTTCCCCTAGTGCTAACAGCAATATGCTTGGCCAAGAGTTCTGTGCTAGAGGTGACAGCAACCCCAACACGTTTCTAGGTCAAGAAAGGATTCTTTCCACCCTCCCACCTAATGCTGCAACACACACACACACACACACACACACACACACTCATGATTCTTGGTCCAGTGAGAATGGCATCCACGGACTAAGCCTGGTCCTGGGGGCGTCACCTCTTCTATGTTGCAAACAAAAGATCCAGTGAGATACATTTTTGCATAACCCCCAACACCTAGGTCTCAACAGTATTTGTGGAGCGAATGAAAGTTTCCAACAAGAAAAAAAACAACCTTGCAGGAAGACACTGAAAATAGATTAGGTTCTGAAGGGTTCTAGGGGTCCGCGATGTTTGATAATTTTTAAAATAATGGACTCCAACATCTTTCTACCAGATTGACAGTAGAAATAGAAAGAGCTAAATTTAGGGAGGAAATGTGACATTAGGCTACAGGCTGAATATGGAGTGAGACCAAGGAGAAGCTGAGCAGAAGGAGCTCTGTGATGTGGATGAGCTGTTTATTCTTGTTTCCAGAACAATGGAGCTCCCCGTTGACGTCAATGTACATGAAGAAACAAAAGGCCTTTGGGTGTGTGCAGGGTGCAGCTGGGCCTGGATTTACTTGGTGTGTGTGTGTGTGTGTGTGTGTGTGTGTTAGGCAGGGAGGCACGGAGGGTTTCTAGGTGTCAGTGTTAGAGAAACAGGAGGAGGGGCCGCTCTCACCTTGGAGTGTGAGCCACAGAGCAGGCATCCGAGGGCTGATGTGGGAAGAGCTGTGCTGATGAACTTGGTGATTGCCCAGTTTACATCTGTGTCTCACAAAGTTGTATACACACCTTGTCAAGGGGAGGGGAAGAAGTGGCTCCAACACAGGAATTCCTGGATGTGGGTTCGGCTTTGAGAACTAGCAGCTCAGTTTGCCTGCAGGCTATTGAGCAGGAAGAACGGGACCAGCGGAGGGAGATGCTAGGGCCCCCTCAGCCCTTCAGAGCCCAGCCAGCCTCCCCTGCCTGCTGAGACCCTGTAGTTACAGAGCCTGCTGCAGCTGAACTGCCTGGGAGCCTGCATGCGCTTCCATGTCCTTCAAGCAAGCCTCAGCCCTCCAGCTGGTCTGAGAGTAAGCTCCACTCTCTCCTGGCACTTTAAACAGAAACTCCGGCTTAACGTGCCCCCAGAAAACGCTTACTGAAAGAAAAAGTGGCAGCCAGGATGCTCCAGACCTACTCTCTCCCAGAACCCTGTACCTCTGGCCCACGTGTCTCTGTGGCTTGCGCCTTCTGAAAACCTCCCTTTTCCATGCTTTTCCTTTCCCCTCTTCAAGTGCTGCTTCCTCCATGGACCCTCTGCGGATAACTCTGGCCTTGGTGAATTTATCACCCACACCGCCCCATTTAGTATTTAAGTTCCCTTTTTATGAATGAGATGGTCTTTTTCCCCTAATGACGTGGTTGGGAGCAGGGACATCGTTTATTTGGTACCCCCTCCTAGTAACAATGTCCCTATTTGCTGAACCAAAATTTGGAACACATGATCTCAAAAATAAGAAGCTGACCGTCCTGGCAGGAGTGGACCTCGGCGGCCGGGGTGGGCGTGCACCCGGCGCTCCTGCTGGGCAGCCCTGGCATGGTCCCCCACGCAGTTTCAGCGCCTAGGGAAGGATGAATGGGAGTGAGTAAATGAATGAATGGGAATGAAAGATGTCCGCAGGGAGTTTCTCGCGGGGGCGCGCCTCTGGCCCGTAGCCGCAGGTGGCAGCCTTCCAGGGCCCGGGCTTCAGCGGCAATTCGGCCGCCCCGCCGGCCGGTCCCAGGTGCACTGGGCCAGGTCCCGTCCGGTACCCAGCTCCCCCCGGCCCGCGGTGGTACGCGCCACTCAGGGCTCCCCTAGCCAGACGACGCCAGCTGTCTTGAATGGAAGACTCCGAGGCCGGAAGTGGGAGGGATCACTCGGGAGGACGAGGAGGGGGAGACGAGAGCGCCGCGTCTTCATTGAGGAACCGACGCGGTGAACATGGAGTTCCATGTGCGTCTTATGTAAAGAGAGCGACGGGCGCTGTAGCCAATGGACACGCGGCGCTCGCAGGCCCGGCCCCTTCGGTATGCAGATGAGGCTGAGCTTCGGCCAATAGCGGGAGGCGGGGGCGGGCGCGGCGCGCGCAGTCACGTTTTCCACTATGTGACAGCGGCGGCGGCGCTGCGGGCTACGCGCTGCTCTAGGCGGCGGCGGCGGGAGCCGGGTCGGCGGACCGGACCGACGCGCGGACGGACGCGCGGACCAGCGGGGACGCGGCTCGGTGAGGGCGCGGCGTGACACGGCGGGCGGGGCGAGCGGATAGGCCGGTGGGTGCCAGGCTGGGGCGCCGACCGCGGTCCGGCAGCCCGGCTGGCTGGTTACGTAACCGCCGGGCTGGGCCTCGGGCAAGCGGTCTGGGGTCCGGTGGACGAGCTCCGGGCGCGCGGCGGCGGCTCCTGCAGCCCACGGAGGCGTGATCCGAGAGTTTTCCGGGCCATTTGACTCCTTCTCGTCTCAAAGGGGTGGGTTGGGGTGAGTACTGTTATCCCCATTTTGCAGATGGAGAGCCTGAGGTCCAGAGAGCTTAGGCAACTTGTCCAAGGTCCTGGAGCTACCGAGTGACTACCACACGGGACTGTTCTTCTCTAGATGATCTTCTTTAATGAGCCCTGCCTCGCCTCCCTGTGCCCCATGGGGAGAGGGTCCTGGGAAGGCTAAGGCCACAGGTTCAGTGCCACGGTTCTGGGAACGTGCAGAGCCCCTTAGGGGGCTGATTTCCTGCTCTGAGGCCAAAGAGCCAAGTCTCAGGCTGGGGAAGGGCCACTGATGGACGCTGGTCTAGGAGCTTTACCTGGACAGCCCACGGGTCCCCTGGGCTGGTTAAGCAGACAGAGAAGAGAGCTCCTGTGCCAGGCCAGACCTAGAGCCCGTGGGCAGGGAGGCGCCCCCACCCCCTTTGCCTCCCCTGGACCTCCTTGTATTTACTCCCTCTCCCCAGATTGAGTAGAAGGGGGTCCCACTTTGTGATGCAGCACTCACACCAACTTTTTGGGGTGTACCTTGGCTGCCAAGACCCGGACATGGACTGGGGGCAGGTACTGGCCTGCTTAAGCGCTCCAGAAGGGCCAGGTAAGGGATGAGAATTGGGTTGCCAGGGTTTCTGTAATGTACACAGAAGAAAGCAGTTTGGAAAGCTGATTCATACAACAGAGACAGAAGGTACCCTGGAAATCATCCAGGGTAACACCTTGGCTTCACAGATCAGGAAACTGAGGCCCTCATCCCTGCTGGGCACGCACCAAGGAAGATCTCCAAGGTCTTCCCGTCATCCTGAGGGTCTTGATCTGGGGCGGGATGAGCTTCACACATTCTCCAAAGGCCTGAAATTGGGTACTGAATGCTGAGTGTGCCAGAATCTGGGGAGAGGAGTCCCAGGTCCCCCAAATGTTAAGCCAGAACCATGGCAGAAATTCCTCCATGAATACTTCTTACCTCCCCTGTCTGATGCCGGGGGGCGGGGGGGGGGCAACTGTCTTCTCCCTGGCTGCAGAGGGGCAATGCCCTGGCCCCAGCCCCACTGGGGGTTTCTAATGCCCCAGGCTGGATTTGGTGGAGAAGAAACTGGGCTCAGTCTGAAGGCTCTAGCTGGAAATTGAGTTTTTACACACAAAGTTCATCACTTTTTATAAGGTGTATGAGTAAGACGAGGAAAGGGACTCCTCTTTTTCTCAGTGGGAGCTACGTGATATGCCAATGCAGGGCTGGCACTGTGGGTGTTCACAGTTATCTGTCACTGTCATCTTGGTGTGACTCACTAGGACAGAACTAACGCAGCCCAGCTTTCTGTGGGGGCTGAGGTGCTGGGCAGAGAGGGGGTGACTCAGCCACCCCTCTGGGCCTCAGTGTCCTCGTCTGCACGGAGGGGCTCAGATGAGCCAGGCTGCCAGGTCTGTCTCCACTCCTAGGCTTTTGGATTCTGGTTCCTCTACGGCTGATTTCTCCAGGTGCTTGGGCAGGAGACAGGTGTCTGATGCGCTCTCTCCTTCCTTCCGGTCACATAACATTCCCCGGTGAGGTATGTCCGCCATGCTTCGAAGAAAGTAGGAAAGGTTCCCTCTTTTGTGTTTCTCACGCACACGCTCGACTTTCAGAGAAATCCCGGTGGACACGCCTCTGTTTTTAGACGGTGATGTAACTTCACGGGGCCTCAGCAAACCACAGGCTCCGTCAGGTCACCGAGTGGCTGGCAGGACCTCTCGGCATTTAGTCCAAAGAACAAGTGACCCTCAAAACGACCTTATTGGGCAAAGCTCAGGAGAAACACACAACCCCTCCGCTGCGCATCCGCTCTGGGCACCGGCCCCCATGGGAAGCTGGCCCACCTGCTGACCCAGCAGAGAGCTGGGGGGCTTGACGGGCCTCGGATGGGCCCTGCCCCTGAGCTGTCGTTAGGCCCGGCTTCAGCTCTGTAAGCCCGCGGTGTGCAGGTCTGCAACAGGCGTGTTACTGTCTTTCCTCGTCTAGAGCAAATCCCAAGCAGGTGGCGGGAGGCCCTGAGGGCTCCGGGTGCTCCCGCTGGGACACAGGCACCCAGGGTAGCCCCCTCCCTGCACGCTGGAGCCAGGAAGCTGAAGTTGCCGCATTCTCTGTTTTAAGTCTCACGCCTATCCACGTTTGAGGCTTTGGAAGGCAGAGCCGAGAGAATCAAAAGGAGTCTCGGTGAGGCCGAGAGGCGCCTCTCTCCTGCCTTCTTCCTGCCATATTTGGTCGGCGTTTTCCCCAGTCACCAGGCCGTCGCCATGGAGAGCGCGGGTGTTTATCTAGCAGGACAAACATTTTCTCTGGATTACGGCAGGCTGGCCCTGGGGGAATCGGCTCCTATCAGGAAGTAGCAAACGTGTTATAATATTCGGGGTTGTAAAATACCGCAGGCTTTCAGACAGAGTCCAGAGTGTGAGATCCCCGTCGTATAAAGTGTGAAAAGCCGCAGAAGTAACCCGGCCGGGAGAAGTCGGGCTGGCGATGACCCTGGGGGTGGGGGGT